TCAAAAAATGCACCACTGTGAAATGGAGCCCTGATCCAGGGACTTGGCTTTGCTTTTCCTCTCAACCGTCGAAAGAATGCAGGACGAGAAAGAAGCAGAGAAAAACACTCATGTAGCACGTTACATAATCCCAGGGCTGTATGAATCTGAATTGGAGTCATTTGGATATCATTAAAGCCCTGGAGCTCAGTGTCTCTTCGTGTTTACATTACAAGTCAACAATGGTTTCTTTGTCCCGTGTCATCACTTATAATTCGCCGTGAGGGGGGGAAAGTGTTGCTGGCTCATTTTTTTTCCACGACTACTTGTCTGGTTGTGTTGAAACTGGCCTTTTCCAGTACACTGGCAGTTTTTGATGAGCTACCCGCGCTGGATTACGCTGTCAACCCCGTTAAGAGCTCAGCGTATCAGGCCATCAGCAGATAAGGGTTCGGTTACGTTCGGCTTATCACATCATCAGCGTTTGAGCTGGTTCGAATCCAGAGCGAGTGTCTGGTGACAAACCGCTCAGAATAGCGTGTGGTAATCCCGGGTTCTTGCTCGGTGGACGGCTTCTAACCCCTCATCTTTGTAGCACATCATAGCCAGCTGTGTGGGCTCCTCTGGGCTCATTAGGAGATCAAACGAGACGCCCGAAAAGAAGTGGGCAGAGCTCTCGAGGCACAGTGAGCCACTCGGATCACGTGCGTTCGCTGCTCCACGCTGATATTGCTGGCAGATGGCAGCCATACTGTACTGACAAAGTGGATTCAGATGTGACAAATGCTCTTTGATATCTCGTTGTGTATATGATTTAACGCGCCTCTGTGTTTGGACATGTCGACAGTCGCTTTATTTCACTTATTAAGTTTTATTTGCATCATCGATAGCCACGAATTTCGCGTGCATCTGATTAAGCACATGCATCTGTGAGGAATTAACATAAATCATCTCTTTTTTGCATTAGGTGTATTTTATTGTCCAAACTTATAAGTGATTGAGCAAAAATCAGGAAAAACTGTTGGAATAGCACACATGGTGTTTTTAATACCACTGTAACTCTGATTTATCTTTTTATGAATTGGAAATTGATCTTTAATAACATTGGCCAATCTTGAACACATTTTCAGTGCTCGGGGCAAATGGAGATGGAGTGTAATTCAATCGCAACTTGTATAACTCAAACAATTTTTTTTCTCTCTTCACAATGTGCCAGATGCATGTCAGTGCTTCCTGAAGCTTTTTCTATCTCTCCCACTTACAAGATACTCAAAACGTACCCATGACCACCGCCACCCCCACTCATGCCACCCTGCAAGACTTTCATACAATACATGTGAGCGATACTAAGCTACTTTACCGTTTTCCAGCGGAAGTTATGAATCTGTTAGTTATGCAGTTGCTTTTGGTTGGTTTGATTGGCAAAAAATGGCTAAAGGTGGCAGTGTTTACCGGACCCATTATAAAGTTCTTTCTTTATGTTCTTTCACATTTTTCCATCTCTGCTCTTCAAGAATACATTTAAGGCATATGTTTTTCCCTACTACTGAAATATTAGGATGCGTTAAAGCCAAAGTTGGTACCAAGACAAGCATTTGGCAAAATTTGGATTGACTGTTGTCACTGATTAAACAAGTTTGATTTATCTTGCACGGTTCTGCCAAGAATAATTAGACGCTTTATTCTTCGTGTCCTATTTGGGTTATTGGCTGTGTCTGTGTTCCCATCAAAGTTATGGACCTATATTATTCTGATAATTTTTTTAAATGTGTGAAACATATTGCAACACTTACTATCCATAAGCCTGTTGAGTCAGAGGGAGAGATTGCCATCTACAGTATCACTGAGAGATGGAAAGTTGCCGTTATTAAATGGCATGTGCTTTAGTTCACTGAGTCAAAAGAAACTTTGCTCAATAGGTGTTAAAACGGCAGCCTGTTTAGTCTGTGCTTTATGAGGTAGAGGTGTGTGTAGAAAGTGTATAAAATGATTCTGAAAATATTCTGTCATTATGGCTCACTCAAATTATCCCAGCACTCTGTGATTCTCCCTTTCTCAGAGATATGAGCAGTTTTCAGTTAAACACTTATGAAAAACCGTTCTTTTTGTATAGGAGGGTTGGGAACATTTTTGCCTGTATTTTAAATTTTATACATCTAATAATTATAGTATTTGTCAGACACAAAAAATATATATTGTATTAAGGATTAGGTATTATTGTATTTTAATTATTATTTTTCCTATTAAATGAATTGTTTTACTGTTCAATTATTGTCGAAAAATCCTATCATATTAATGTGACAACTTACCCCTTATAGTGTGACAACATATACCCAGCTTTCGGGGCATGTTGTCACAAAAGGTCAACATGCCTTTCTTGGGCTATAATAGTGGAAATGTTCAATAGCTTTATTTATTTATTTATTTATTTTTTTTGTAGTCAAGTCTTTAAGGTATGTGCCTGTATACAGAAATGTATGGAAAAATATTCACTAGATTAAAACTTGCATATTAGTATATATAGATTTAGATTAAAAGAAATCAGTATAATTCCAAATATAATCTGCATTTTCTTTATTTTGTGGACACTATCTGAAAAAAAAAGAAAACACACACACACAAGTTCATGTGTGTGAAGTTCATGTATGGTTTAATTTCTGCACATGCCATTTCTCCATTGCCATTGTGCATAGAAAAAAGTGCCTACTAATTTAATAATGTCCTTTCTGTGACCCATTTCAAGGAAAACATAAAAATGATATATTTTCTCCTAATGCAGTAATTGAATCTATTCAGAACCACAAGAGGCAATTTATCCCGTTTCCATTCAGATATTATAAGTGATAACAGTCACGCAGTTTTAAACTTTCACAGGCAAAGTTACAGACTGAAGATATAAATGCTCACTGAACTGTAGCTGCAGAATGACTTCAGTTGAAATGTTATGATGTGATCAGGACATCACGTGTTCGAGTGGCATCAGTGTAATGATTGCATGATGCTGGAACTATATGAACCACAAAAAAGAGAAATCCCTGTCTTCAAAGACCAACCACATTGGAAGCAACAAACATGTCGCCTCCTGAGATCTTTTCATCCTTTAAGCCTAATTTGATCCTGCGCTCTCCAGGGAAGCGCGATTACACTGATCCTACACACCAGAGACAAAATATCACCTTATATGTATTATATCGATGCTAATGTGACTGATATTGTTTATATGCAATGAAATCCGACCGACTGTAAGTCTTTATCCGCACTGGATACGATTGCGTGCCAGCGCGCTCTAGTGCCGTTGGAAACACCTTCGTTTTCTGAATTATTTTTTGACGGTTTGTCTAATCTGTTATGAAAAGATCTATAAAATCTTAAAATCCTTTCGGAGAGCTGACCAAACCTTACAAATTCTCCTTGTGGCTGTGAATTAAGCGCCTTTTAATACAGGAAACGTAGTTAATGACGACTGCGCGCAAAGCGCCAATTGAAGTCTGCTTGAGTGTGTGGTGTGTGTAACCCGCAGCACTTCCCAAACCCATCAGACTGCAGCGCTGAGCGCGCGGAGAGGGACTGACGGTGCTCCATATACGCGAACAGAGGACAGATACGTTCGTCTTTGGCTAATTTAGACTGTTGTGATGCGCATTCCCGTAGATCCCAGCGCCGGCCGGAGGTTCAGTCCGCCGGTGTCGGTGAAGATGAATGATGTGAACCCGAGCGCAGGGCAGCAGCAGGACAGCGCGGTGGTGCCAAGACTCCGCGCGCAAGAGAACCGCTCCATGGCCGAGATCATCGCCGACCACCCCGCAGAACTGGTGCGGACCGACAGTCCAAACTTTCTCTGCTCGGTTTTGCCTTCTCATTGGAGGTGTAACAAAACGCTACCTGTTGCGTTCAAGGTAAGAGCTTGTTTTTAAATTGAGTCTTTATGAATGCAGTCATTTATTAAAGTAATATGTGTAACGTGGACACTATAACCTAAATTGTTTTGGACGCTTGTTGTGTGTTAGTTTTTATGTCAACATAACTTTATCAAGTCTAAAAATATGAAGCTTGTGCAGGTCGAATTTCTATGCCGTTTTAGCACACTGTTGACTGCACTGACAAATACGAATAGAATTATAGTATTCTAATATTCTAAACATATTTAAACAACATTAATGATAATATATAGCCTAACTTAGCAAAATATGCAAAGTGTTGCTTAAATTATGTTAAGTGCAGTAGGGGTATATGCTACTTATTTGTACGCTAGGGATTGAGATTGTATATTTAGATTATAATTATTATAATTTATAGTAAAATTTCTATCAGCTTTAATTTACAAAATTTAATTTAATTTACTCATATCATTTTATGAATTTCAGTCAGTTCTGCTGAATGTGTTTGTCTTGTACAATTTTGTCAATTTGTCAGGGATAGTTAGTGTGCCATTGTACTATCTATACTCTTATAAGAGTGTGTGAACATCTTATGTTTTCGTAATAGCACTAGACTTTACTGGAAAAGGTTTAACTTAATAAGAAATAATGAAATTGCTCTGGCATTATTCATTGTTTGATGTGTAATTCTGGCCTGTGGCAGAATATTTGCTCTTGGCTTGTGTTTATGGTCAGGCCTGTGCAGGTATGGTTAGCTGTTAGGTAATTTACCAGATTGGTTGCTAGATTAGTACTAATGAAATAGAATTGCAAGATGATATGCAAACATATCGCCTTATGTGCAATATGCATGTGACAATATACCAATTATATTAGTAATATACCAACTGTAGTAATAAATCTGATGTAACCTACATTTTTAAAATGTTTAATAACTATAAGGATGGATAGACATGCACACAGCATAGACATACAAGAACAATCTAAACATAGATTTATTAAATAAATTAATCCTATTCATAATTTTTCTAGGCCCTCACACCAGCACCTTTTTTGATCACTTCAGTCATGTCACTTTTGCATTAAAAAATTTATCTTTTATTTTTTTGAGAATGATTTTACTAATATTATGATCATATTAGTATATAATAATATTATTATTAATTAAAATAATATTAACGTATAATATTAACATTGTTAATAATTATAATTGCTCATTTTCTTTCCACATCAAGTCTGCATAAATATGCATGTATATGCAATTATTTGCATGAAAGCTTGCTATTAAATAATCAGAACTCACAGGAACTGTCTGAAGTAGCTGCTGATCCGAATGTCTTGCATATGCGCACATGCACAGTGTAAAACGTTGCATTGTTGTTCTCTCCGCAGGTGGTGGCCCTGGGAGAGGTTTCTGATGGGACGGTGGTCACAGTAATGGCTGGGAATGATGAGAATTATTCAGCTGAGCTCAGGAATGCTTCAGGTGTTATGAAGAACCAGGTGGCCCGCTTCAACGATTTGCGCTTTGTGGGCCGAAGCGGAAGAGGTCAGTCCACCTTTTGTGAAATATTTAGATAGATCCTACATGTTGAACCTTCTATCATGCAGGTTACATTGGGAAATGTGTTCATGTACAGAAAATCAAACATGAGCTTAACTGTCTTTCATTGCGTGTTCGCACTTGATTGTCAAAACCAATCAAAAAGTTTGGCCACACCTTTTTTATTGTTGATGCTTTCATTTTTTTGGAATATTAGGAGCTATCAAACCATTGAAATAACCAAAAATGGAAGTGTGGGAAACATGTATGTTAAACAAATCATCCTGGGATGCTTTTTAAACAGTATTGAAGGATTTCACATGGATGCTAGACACAAGTTGATGCTTTTCAATCATTATCTAGTCTCATCTATTTAAAAAAATGTTTTTATTAAAATGCAGAATTAGGCTACAGCACACAGATGATATGTAGGAACAATTCATATTTACCTACAACATAATTTTTTTTTTCCAGAAAGTTTTTTAAAAATCATGTAAAGCAATTTCATTCAAGCATGCCCAAACTTTTAACTGCTAGTGCAACTAACGATACACTTCATAGCAGTTTATGTGTGTTTACACAGGCTTACAGATTGTATTATCACACCATGCGTTTTTCTATTAAGCTTAATCGTTTTGCGTTTATCTACACTTGCACAATGTCATGTGGAGAAATCCTCCAGGGAGATTTGGTAACACAGGCACGCGGTCACACAGGGACACATGACATTCTTAGAATAATTATAGTCAGTCTGTGTGCTGAGCTATCAGTTACGAGTCAACACCGTTGTGAAACCACATCACCAAATTACTGGTAAGAATGCGCTCATTAAATTAAAGGTCTGTGTGCGTTCTGTGCTAAGGTTTCTCATACCATCGATGCTAACTTAGCTGTCTGCATAACAGTCTTTATATATATATATATATATATATATATACTTGATTCTTATATATATTTTTATGTTAATTTTGCGTGTTGTTCAGATCATTAATCTTTTTTTTTAACTTGAAGTGGTAAATTATGTGCTTTTAGAGTCGTTGCACAAAATTTTTTAAATAATGATGCTTCCCGAACACTCTCCCTGTCTGCAATTTGTCTGCAATTTGTCAGTCAAACAGATGGCCACACCTCCAAACTCACAAATATGGTTGAGCCAAATTGAGAGTCGCAGGTTGCATTCGAAAACTTCATACGGTACTTCCTTACTGTATAGTAGGC